GATGGGGTGAGGTATCTTCCAAGTGTGCCTGCATGGCACAGCATTCTCAGCTGTATGCATCAGTGAGTGACACACTGTGTTTGCAAGAGATCAGCTAAAAATGTAACACTCCGGTCACTTCCGGGTGATGTTCTGCAGATGTCTTTAATAAGTGTTTTTATTTCCTCATATTTCTTCCTCCTTGTACAATTAAACCATGTTCTTTTTGTGTATTGAAAATAGGTTTTTTTCATGCATTATTTTCTGTTCACTGTTTTCCCTTTCCTCAACCCCTCACAGATGCCCCCCACTTCCCCATTCACCCAAACCCACACCCTTTCTTTCTCTCGCTCATTAGAAAATCAGTGTGTGTTAATGCTTGTTTATTTACTGCACATGCCACGGCACGTGTGTGGAGGTCAGAGGACAGCCCGTGGGAGGGAGTCAGTGCTCTCTTTCCACACCGTGAGTTCTGGGGACCAGATTTAGATCACTAGGCTTGGCAGCAAAGGGCCCTTACCCACTGGGCCATCCTACTAGGTGCTTGTGTATGCTTTTAATAAAATTCACATCACGAATGACTCAGCTTTCCAACTTCAGTCCCACTGGGTACACGGGCAGATTGTGTCATACACACAGTGGCCCTTGTCCCAGGGATTTTGCCTTGACTGCTGGTTGGGCAGGACTCTATTGCAGAGGCAGGCCTAGTCACCCGCAGGCTCCCGCATCCCATAGCCTACTCTCCTGAACCTCAGGGTCCAGGTGAGCTCAGCAGATCAGGTGCCATGGACAAATGTCCCAGGCCACCAGAACATACGCACTGAAGTTTAAGTTGGAACAGAGCACCGTGAGAATGTAGAGAGCCGCTAGTTCCTGGGGAGCTTCCAGTCCAACAGGAGAAATTAGCTACCCATGGGTCACTTAGGCACACAGGAAGGGACTAGCACCTGGAAGGTGGCACTTTGGACTGTGAGGGCCCACACTCCACCTTAGAATGGACAAAGACTGAAAATGGGGTCCTCCCAAGTGACCTAAGGCTGACTCTGCAAGCTGGGAGCACAGGGTCTACTGGGCTCAGCGTCTGTGTCCGGCTGTTCACTGCTTTGCAACAGAAGAGTGTTGATGAATGGCCGTGGAAAGCTGGACACTCCTTCTAGCCTTCCTTCCTGCCCTCCTCACACTGCACAGGACTGCCAGACTCCAGCCTTTGCTCTGTCACGCAGACATATGGCTCCCCTTTGCATTCCAGCAAGCTAGCAAGAGCACTTGGAGGGGAACCCTGGGTCCCCAGCTATGACAGTGACCCTCTGCCTCCCATAGGCAGCATCTGCAGCCCCAACCCCAGCCTAACACTATTCTGACATGGCCAACGAGACAGAACTTCTTGCCTCGTTCATAGTGGGGGTTTGCTGCGGTTTTATTTTGTTTGTTTGAGACAGGGTCTCTCTATGTAACCCTGGCAGGCTAGCATGCTGGCAGTCCTGGACACACTCTGTAGACCAGGCTGGCCTAAACTCACAAAGATCCGCCCGTCTCTGCCTCCCAGGTGCTGGGATAAAAGGCGTGCGCTATCATGCCTGAACTTGCTCATAGTTTTGAATAAGGAATCATGGTTCTGACCTAATGATTGCCTTCTCTATGGAACCCACCTCCACATCTACATAACTCCCTCAGTCCACGAAGTCAGCTTCCTCAGAGAGGTCTTTCCATGTCCTCACACCCACCCTGGGGCCTTCTCCTGATGTATGTCCTGGTACATTCCTTCTCCATGAGCAGAGATATAGCTCAGAGTTTGTAACTGTGCTGTGGAAGTTTGGGCTCCTGTCAGAACCAGGCTTGATAGCACCAGGGGAACATGGTAGCAGAGTCAGTCAGCCCATTCATATTCAAGGGACTTTTAAGGAAAGGAAAGCAGAAAGAGACAGGGGGCCCAGCCAGGAAAAGAAAAGTCACCAGAGCTGCAGGTACATAACCGGGAGGGAGGCTGTACTGGACTCAGTAGTGGGTTTGTTTAGAGCAGAATTGGTCACCTTGCTCAGATAGAAACATGGCTGACAAGCGCACTTTGAACCCCGGGGAGCTAAGCCCTGGCAGGCCAGAGTCCTCTGGAGCAAATGTGGCCAAGCTGCCTGCAGCTCTGAGGTCAAGTTACAAGCCTTGCCTGAATCTCAACCCTGGGGCCCTCGCCCTTGAAACGGCAGGTGGCCTCCCGGGCATAGGTAGAGCATTGCTTCTCTTGAAGGCCAAGCCAAACCCCACCCCACTGGGGCCCCAGGGAAGCACACTCACATACTCCAGGCCCCAGACTCTAGGGCATCAGGAGGGGGCAGTGACAGCCCAACAGTCCCAAATGCCTTCTCGGCATAGGGTCCTAGCACCCTACTCCTTTCCAGCTAGTCTCAGTTTCGTTCAGGAACCCTGACGGTGTAGAACCAGTCTGGGTTCTGGACATGGACAGATGTGGGTTGGAAGCCAGCCTCCGTAGCGGAGTCATCTCGGGCAAGCCGCTTGGGCCTGCTGAACATTGATTTCTGGTCTGTGAACAAGGGGATGGTGTTGGGAGGAGGTGGGTGCAAGTGTGTTGTCATATCCGGCTAGACATGGTAGTCCAGCTGAGTCCATGCTGCTGATATCTCTTCCTGGTAGGCAGTTGGCAGGTGGATGCCCGCCTCTCTAATTGTCACGTTGTCTTCATGCATGTGCTCCAGTGGTCCAGGCCCTCCCCTGGTGAAAGGAAACTGAGCACGGGCACGCAGACCTCACCACCTAGCCACCAGAAGCAGGGGCAGGCTTCTGCAGTCTCCTTAGGAACAGCAGTAGTGAGTCTCTTGGGAGCTACTTGGAGTCGAGGAAACTACAAGGCCAGCCAGTGAGGCCTCAGACTTGGCCCCGCCAGGGTGCTCTTGGAAAAGGCATGTACCAGCTCATTCCTACCCAAGCCTCCATTGTGCCTCTAGGACAGGGGTCTGACCAACTGTACACATCCTCTACATGGAGGGCGAGTTGTGTCGGAGTTAAGAGAGTAGCATCTGACAGAAGCAAAAACTTCTTGCTGGGTGTTCTAACAGGATTGTCTGGAAGAATCTCACACACACACACACACACACGCACATGCACGCACGCACGCACACACGCGCTGCCCTCTCCTGTACAAGAGTAGGTTTTTGGCAGGACTGGGCCCCACCAACAGGAGTGCTCTGCTTCCAGAGGAAAGGACTCCACCTCCTACCAAGCTCTCCCCAGAATCTCACCTCTCCTCAGCTGGCTTTGAGAGGGGTCTGAGAAATCTCTCATCTTTTGAGCCAGGGTTGTCTTGGCACTTTGCAAACTGTATACCGGGAGATGTTAGCGGCTGATACAGCATAGTCTCTGGCTTTCTTCTTTCTTCAAAGAAGTGAATGAACAAGCCACCTGGACCTTTGGGTCCACCTTTGGGACAAGGCAAGGAGACCCCTGTGACTCACCAGAAATGCCCTCAACTATGTGAACTTGGACCGCCATGACGAGGTGGGCAGGACTCAGCCATACCGTCTAAAACCCAACCTAGACTCCAGACCTGCCTCACCTCTGCGCTGACAGAAGTGGGGCTTCTCCTGTGAACCCCACCTTGACAGTGAACCCCACCCACAGGTTCTTGATAGCTATGATGTCATCACAACCCGGAAGAAATCCATCTTTCAGTGACCTCCCAGTTGCTCAGCCAGGAGCATCCATTAGTGGTCAGACAGGAACTCTTAGGTGCGGCCCTTAGAAGTACTGTAAAGTCCTTAGAATTATCTTAGGTCTAAATTTAGCTCGATTTATACTCATACTGCTCCATTCCAGGCACCAGTGGCCACCTTTAGTTGAACAGTCATATTTTACAGGGTTTGTCTTCCAGGCAAGGACTGAAATCCATGGTAGGACAATTCTTCATCTTGGAGGTGCTCCAGGACCCAGGACCTAGCTGCTCTGTGATGGAGAAGTAGAGTTGTGGACATTCCAAGGGGTTGGTCCTATCTGTAAGAGGAGATCTGGACTCCATCATCTGGAGGCTGGGAGCTGATAGCATAATGCCTTTGATTTTCTGATGATGTACTGATGATGAACTTTGCTTATTAGAGCTTGAGAGAGTCCCTCTGTTGCTTGGGACTTCTTTTATCATTACTGCCTACTCTATATCAGGGATCCAATTGAAGGACAAAACAGAAAAGTCAGAAGTGGGTCTTTCTTGCTGGCTGGGGTAGATGGAATTCTTCGCCGCCATCCCTCCACAGTCCATTCTAGCTGGCTTCACACCACTCCTTAGAAAGCCACCCACTAGAAAACTCTGTAGATGCCACATGAGGCTAACCACCTCAAATCTGGAAGGACGAAGAAGGCTATCCATCCCCATCCTTGTGCCCAGTAAGGCTATCCCGGAAAAATCCAAGTGGATCTTCAGATGGGCAGGGCCAGCAATCTAGGACCCCACCCCCACCCCCAGACAAGGATAGCCACCCCGTAAGAGCCCACCCGCCACTCACACTGCATGTTCATGCTTCAGGGTGATCAGACTGAGCTTTGTCCAGTTTCCAGTTTTGTCCTGACCTTCCCTTCCCACCAAGGGTACACACTCGAGTGAGTCCAGGACCCAGTGCGGGGCTCACTGGTCCCAGGGGTTCTGGGACTGAGAATATGGAAGCTGTGTCCAGAGCTTTCCTAAAGTGATGCTGTTATTGCCATGACTCCATTCCCCAGGCATTGCCCGTGCACCTACGATAGGAGACCTGAAAGCTATGTCCAGGAAGCCAGACCTTCTACCCTCAGGCATTCCTGGGAGTTGGGCTTTGTCTTAAGGAAGAACTGCTACATATGGCGCCTTAACTATGATTTTCAGACATTTCCAATTGAGCACCTACACACAGAGCTTGTATGCATCCGCCCAGGCACAACTCCGGGAAGACGGGAACAAAGACACATCTACTTCAGCCTGGGCAGGGGTGGGGTGGGGTGGGGGTTGGAGTGGGGGTGGGGGTTGGCTCAGTCTGTAAAGTGCTTGCTTTCCAAGTGTGAAGACCCGAGTTCCATCTCCAGGACCTTCTAAGTCAGGTGTGGTGGTGCACATTGGTAATGCCACTGATAGCAACGTGGGAGACAGAGGGAAGTGGACCTCTGGAAGCTCAGAAGCCAGTTAGGATAAGCTGCCCAGTGAAGGTCCGGACCAGAGACCCTGTGGCAAACACTGGAAAGCTCCTGAGGAATGGACACCTAAGGAAGCTGTCCTGACCTTCATGTGTACATGTGCATGCCTACACACCTGCTGTCTGTAAAGTTGAATAAGGTGTTTCTAATGCATCAGTCTGCTGTGGGGTTGGTATTCAGCACTGTTAAAATGACCAGGTGGGCTTGGACTGCAGTTGGAGCCCCCGTCCATCCGTCCGTCCGTCCGTCATTCAGATATGCCCCTCAGCTATACCTGTTGTTTAGTACAGGTGGGTCCAAACCATGGTCGCTGGTCACAGGGAGCTATTGAGATTTTCATCGCAATTAAAAACCAAGTTCCCGAAAATACCACTGGACACACTTCAGGTACTTAGTTCCTAGGCGTGACTAGCATCAGTACGGCGTAGACATCATTTCCATCAAGTGAGACCTGGTGCGGCAGGCCTCGGGGACATTGTCCGCACTGGTGTCGATCGTCAGGGTCGTACCAACTGTTCATTGTTTGGAACAGCACCTGTTCGTTCAGCACAACAGAGGCCGTGCCAGAGCCTAACAGATAACCGGGGCCCAGAGTTCAAAACCAACTCCCAAGCCTGAGGACCTGAGCTTTGACCCCAGGACCCACAAAGTTAAAGAACCAATTCCTGTGAGTTGGCCTCTGACCTCCATGCGCACACACCAAACAAACAAATACAATGTGATTAAAACAAACCAAACTCAGCAGGCAGAGGCAAGCAGACCTCTGTGGGTTTGGTCTGCATTGTGAGTTCCAGGACAGCCAGGGCTACTTAGTGAGACCCTGTCTCAAAAATCCAAAAATTAAAAAAAATAAATAAAAACTTAACTCCATCCTGTGGCAAATGAGTATAAATGAGCATGTCCCTGTGACATGGCATGACTCCCCTCCTCCTGCCATCTTCTTGACCATAAGTGGAAAGATTCATGACAGATGCATGTCAGCGCTCAGCCAGAGCTCAGGCAGAATGCCAAAGATTCCCATCAGAATGTTTCCATAAAAAGTAAAACAGATTACAATTTCTAAGTAAAAAGCCACACGCCTTGTAAACAATTAACTTTTTATAAAAAGACAAATATACATATTTACACAGATCCATATGTGATCAAACACAATTTAGTAGTTAGGTGGCGTTTCCAACAGTCAAAATCACGCCAAGGCGCTCACAACCCCCTCCCTGGGCCTGCCGAGCACTGCCAAGGCCTGAGAAGACAGTGGGCACCAGGCAAGGCACTGTATAAATAAACGGGAAGGCCTAGACTGGGGGAGAAATGTTAGTGTACACCTCTGATCAGAAATGTGGCAAGGTCCACAGAGAAAGTGCCATGTTTTTTCCTGAGCCCCACGGCTGGAGCAGGTAGCGAGGCAGAGCTCCTCTGAGGCTAACGGAGCCCGGCCTCACAGGACTCCATTTTCTTCCTTCACATTTCACTGGCTCTGGAACCATCCCAGGGCTCGGCTGGGAAGGGCAGCGATTCTTTGGGAACAGGACTCACTTAGTGCAATTGTCTCCTAGTGCAGAGCCAGCCCTGGGGTCAGTGCTGTGCTCTTTCTGAGGTCACTGGCCTGTTTCCCTCAGGGCCAGCCCAGTGACAAGACCCTCTCCAGGCAACAAGGCTTTAATGTCCTCTACCTTACACCAATCTCATAACTCCAACTCCATCTTCCCGGGAGTTAGGGCCAGCTTTACCTCACAAGAAAAACTCAGACCCTGGTCTTCCAAGCCCTGAGAGTCCACTGACCCAAGGAGGGTAGTAGTCTTTTCCCTGCTTGGCAGTGGGGCTACGCTTTGCCATGGTGCCCACAGTAGTCTAGCTTTTCTGTAACACAGCCACCATGATGCCAGGCCTTGCTTATCCAGAAGGGCAAGAATGGGTCAGGGACCCAAGCTACGGTGCACAAGGAATGGCTGGAATGGGCAGCCTGGCAGAGTGGGTCAGCAGGTTGTCCATCCAGATGGAGTCCATATTCTTCAGATCTGTGAAGACACGCTGTATGCCCATCCCAATGTCCCCTAGAAAATGACCAAAAAAAAAAAAAAAATTTCATAAGGAAGAGCATGAGAGTCCCACACATGTTGTCCACAGAGAGCAGGGCTCGTCCTTCCTTAGACCAGCCTCAGCATGGGAACAGCAGCTCGCTGCTGTACCTGCGGGCCCCGTTTAAAAAGGACCTTTTATCTGCTTCTGCCTCCAAGCATTTTCCAGTCTCCATAATTATGGTTTCTTCCTTCTCCCAGAACCCGTAAGGACCTGGAGACCTCTTACCTCCGGGGCTGTCAATCTCCGGTTCCTCCTTGCAGCTAAAGTCTGCATAGACAGAAGAGGGCTGGGCTCCTGGCTCATTGAGCAAGTAGCCTTTGCCGTCTACGCTTGTCGGCTGCCAATCGGACTGCTCCAAGAGCTGAGGAGAGAACGTGAAGCCGTCAGCTGTCTGCGGTGCAGACGCACCCTGTGGCCCTCCCCTCACTGAGCTAACCCTTCCCCCAAGCAGAATCAGGCCCTTGAACATTACTGGATTCTCCAACGGAGTGACAATATGCAGAACGGTTCAGACAAGGCCCAAGTGTCGGGGAGCACAACGCTCCCTGGGCCCTGCTGGCCTCTGCCCCTCTCTTCCCATCCCCACCCTCTGGCACGGACTCTGCCTGACTTCCCTCAACTCCGGGAGGACGCAGCAAGTGGCAGGGCAGCTTAAAGCAAAGGTTAGCATAACAAGCCAGGAAGGCTAAAGACAAGGAACTAGATCCACATCTCAGTGTTCTGTGCTCCCGGGCCAGAGTCAGGATTAAACTACCTCAAAAACTTTTAGTCACTTTGAAAACGGCAAAAGAAAGGAAAATGCAAAAGAACTTGCTAAGGAAAAAAAAAAAAAGTTTTACAATTTTTTTTAAAAAGTCATCTTAGTACAGATCCCAAAAGCTGATTATTGGAACCTGATGTGCCTTTCCCAAACTCGAAGGGTTGGGCATGCTGGGGCGGAGGACACAGTTGCTGATGGGGATTGACTCACAGCTGTCTGGGACCCTGAGGCTTGCTTGAGGATGGCCTGCTGGAGACTAGGCTTCCCACCTACTGAGGCAGCAGCCCCCCCCCCAACACATGGGGCAGGGGTACTCGTGGGGCTATGCAGCCAAGTGACAACAGCACCTGCCCACACTGATTTGGAAGCCCCCCCACCCCTACCCCCACCCCTGGCTTGCTCTCTCTTCCCAGATGCGGTATGGAAAGGGATTTACCTTCATGATGTCCTCAGTTAACTTTCCTTCCTCGTCCTCATCTGTTGTAGCTGTGAAGAAGGGCAGAGGTTGGCCATGCATGTTTGTCCTGCAGTTCCACCCCCCCAGCTGCAGCGCCCCCCACCCTGAGCCTCCCAACCAGCATCTTGCCTGCGCCGGAGATTCCAGAACAGGACACCGGCCTGATGACTCACCCTCCCCAACTATGCAGCAAGGCCGAATCCCACCCCTTCACTTCCTTCCTCACCCTCAGACAACTGAGGGCAGAGAAGCCAGGAGCTCTAGCCACCTTTGACCAAGATCTGGCCTGAAACACACCAAAGCTCTGAACTGCCTTCTTGGGTCCCATGGGGCTTGTTTTGTGATCTGAGGGCTGGGTTTAGCAGTGCCCAGTTCCAGCTCCATGAGCTCAATGGCATGCATGTTTCTAAGCATCCATTTCCCCCTCAAGACCCAAGAGTACACACCTTCAGAGGTGGAGGGCATGGGCGACACCTGCAAGTTATACAGATCGCTGGTGCTGTCTGGCATAATTTCCATCTGCATGTGCCAGTCGGGGAGACTGCTACTGACGACACACGGTGACAGGGCTGGGGGAGGGTGCAGCAGAAAGCGCAGGTCAGGATGGCATGCTTTCTTAGTCTGCAATACATCCACCCTGCAACCTGCCCTAAACAGGCTACTCTCTGCTACCATGATGCCTCCCAGACCCAACCTACGCGCTCCCTCGCTCGCCAGATTGGCGGGCGACCTCACCTGGAGTCAGGTCCTGCTCCACATCCAAGTCCTGACCCAGGTAGCCCTGAGCTGTGTAGCTACCGTGGTCATCAGGCAGAGTGGAGCTGCTGAGTCCGTCGGAGAAGGTGTCAGGGCTGGAGTCCCCACACAGCTGCAGAGAGGAAACAGCTCAGGCCTGTTGTGGCACTCTTCACTGCCCACCCTACCTGACTGACCAAACCAAGGCTGGGCTGCTCAGAGCCACACTCACCTTCCTCTTGGCCTTGCTCTTAGTGTCTCGGCTGGCCTTGGATTTTCTCTCTGCAGGACAAACAGGCTGTGAGCCCCAGCCGATCTTCCTTCCACCCTCTTCCCTTCCTTCTGGGGACCCTGTGCCCTTGGTTACCTTTCCTCTGGTTCTTGGTGAGGGGTGGCAGCATCCGGTACACTCGGACAGCCGAGCTGCCCTTGTTCCTGCTCTGGTCCTTCACTTCCTCGATGTCTGGCAGGGAGTTCATGGCACAACGGAAGTTTGCCTTCCACGTCTTGGGATCTGGCTCTTTTTCCCCTGCTTTGTATCGGCCTACAGAACAGGAGAGCGAATGCATCCATCAGCTGCTCCCTGGGCTGGGATGGACCCCAGACATCCATACTGGTGAAAACAAGCAAAACCCCCTGGTGACAGGCCCTAGGGGTTCTCGTATGTCCAGGGTTGGCTCAGACATCCAGCAAGCATGTGAAGGGAGCACTTGAGTGCCTCTATCCCAAAATGCGCTCAATGTCTTGGGCCACGACAGTCTCCCTGCCTATGTTCTCATCAGCCAGAGACTGCCAAGGCTGAGGCTTATCTGATGTTTCCAGAGTATGAGTGGGCACAGAGTGGGCAACATGGACCGTTACTAATAGGTCTGAATTGGACTGAGAGACTATTTCCTTGTTTGTTTGTTTATTTGTTTGTTTGTTTGAGATCCTATTTCCTAAAAGCTGCAAGGAGGCCCCCAACCTGATGAGGCTTGGGCCAGGGACCTTAGTGTGCACCTTGAGAAAGGAATAGGAAAGTCTCCTTTGGTACCCTGACTCACAACTGTCTCTTCCAGGAACAGCTGTATTCGAGCTGAAGGCATGCTTTCTAAGATTTTTGCCTTTATAAATCCTCCGGGCACTTGTTAGAAACAATAGATTCTGTCCTAGAGAAACACAGGTGCACCTCATCCCCTGCTCCAATAATTCTGCATGCTGTGCTGGGGAGCTGGAGCCACCCAGAGCCTCCATAGTGATAGCTTCCCCTTGTCTCTCCTCTGCCCCGCCACCCTGCACACCTGTGTGAATGGCCCAGCTCCGGAACAGACAGGCATCCTTGTTGATGTCCCAGCCGTGCTTGGCAGCATGCTTCCATGGGATCTGGAAGATCATCTCTTCCTGAATAGTGTACACATAAGACTGTGTCAGCTCAGAGACCACAGGTTTTGTGGCTGAGTATGCCCAGCCCCCAAGTATGGGAAAAGACTGACTTCCCCTTTTCACCCCGACATCTGGCCTGGATTGACCCATCCTGACTGCCTTAAACAGGCCATTCTGCATCTGGCAGGAAGGGTCTGGGTTCTGACGAGCCACAGCACCAGAGGCTCAACAAAGACATCCCTGCCCTACACACCTGCTGCAGATGTGCTAAGAGCCCTAAGAAGTCCCCCCCCCCGTCCCCCCCCCCCCCCCGCCCGCCCCAGCCCTGGCCTGGCAGGTCTCTGATGCTTTTCTCTGGCTCACAACACTGCAACACAGGAACTTCCTGCATAAGTGTCTACTCAGGACACCTGGAACCGCTGGCTCCTTCATAGGGTCCTGGTCATACCCCCAAGGGAGCCCTAGACCAGACGTGGATGCTGACTGCCTGTGTAGTGCTGGCCTATGTACCTCAAGGAGAGAGAAAAGGTTTGTGGGGTGTGTCAGGAGGCTGTTTAATTTTAATAAAAAGAGTATGTATGGGGACAACAGCCACAATGATGGTTTTGTGGTTTGGGTTTTTGTTGTTGTTGTTGTTTTATTTTTAAATTTGTGTGTGTGTCAGGGGTGTTTGCAAGCCAGGGTACTTTTGTGGAAGTCAGAGGACAACCTGCAGGAGTTGTCTCTCCTTCTGTCAGAGATGTGGGGATCAAAGTCAAGCTGTGAGGCTTGGCAACAGGTGCCTTTCCCTGCTGAGCTGCCACCAACTACACAGACTTTCTGTCAAGTCTGTCTGAGTTCAGTCGTGGCTTTCACACTTTTCGTGTGATCTTTTAATCTGCCATAAAGTGCCTCAGTTTCCTCATCTGAGACCCGTCTCAGAGGACGACCATGAAGATTAACACGCACAATATTGGTAACCTATTTAGACAGGGACCAAGCACATATTGGTAATTATTATTACCAATGCTAGTACTGTTGCTAAGTCTATGTGGTCTACGCTGCCGTGTGTACCAGCTGTGGCTTCTTGGGCCACAGTAAGTGGGGTCCCCTACTGAGCCAGTCAGGTTCCTGCCTAGCATCGCCTGTCCGTCCAGCTGGAGCCCTGTATCATATTATGTGCACAGCAAGTTTCTCTCGCTCTGCAGATGCTGAGTCTTGGTGCTGAGAACTGTGCCTCTAGGAGGGTGGACTGGCCACAGCTTCAGGAAGGAAAACACAGGAGGACAAGTCCGACCTTGCACGTCCTGGCATGCAGCACCCACTGGGAAATACATCTTCCTGTTCTCCTATCCACTAGGGAAACTCTGGTCCCCAAGAGGATATGGTTTAAAACGGGCAGAAAGACCCAGAGTAACACTCACTTTATTAATCCAGATCAGCCCCGGAATTTGGTTGGAATTAATCTGCATCTCTAGCCAGGGTCTCATTCGCATCCGAGTGATAGGCATGGCGGCTGGAGGGAGAAGACGGGAAGGTCTGTGTTTGGAAGTCTGTTAAACAATCCTGGGCACTGCCCCGCTCCACCCAAGGCCACTCAATTACCTTGCCCTGCCCTCCCCCACTGGTCATTACCCTCCCCCTGCCATCAGCCAGGTACCAGGTCCTACAGTCATAGAGAAGGGAGCCTGCAACGGAATGGAACTGCTCTCCAAATCTCCCCACCACTGTGGGCAAAACCACCTGTCCCTTCTCTCTGCCTCTCCCAGCCAGTCTCAGGAGGTGACAAGCACGCAAAGTCTGGATGGCTTCAGGACTTATGTGCAAAAAGAGCCCAAATACACAGACATTTCAATGCCAGAACTTTTCTCTCAAAGTGCAATCTTTGAGGGAAGGAAGGGACTACTTTTTTTTGTTGTCACCTGCAGCTCTCCACCTTCCAGGCTGGGCAAGAAAGTCACTCTCCATCCCGGAGCACTTCCCCCAACACCCCCCAATCCAGTCTATGCCCCCTCTGACAGCCGGTGCCCACAACGCAGAGGCTGAGGCGCAACCCCTTCCGGCCTGGTTTCCCCTGCTGCAAAGAGAAGTGGCGCAAGCGACACCTGTGGCACCTCCTCCCGAAACCCCTGTAGTTCACGACGGGGTCCAGCCACTCAGGGCAGCGAGCCAACCTCTGCCACCGAGCACCGTGGGTCCGAAACCTGGGGCCCAGGCGCCAAGCTACAGCCGCCAAAAGTGTGCGTGGGCGCACATCCGAGACCCCCCAGCACTGCTCGCGGATGCGCGCGACGGACGCTCTGGGCCACCGAGAGGCCCCGCAGCGGCTCCGCGCACGCAGACCGCCGAGCGCAGCCAGGGGGCGGTGCACGCCGCGGCCCGCCTCCCGCCCGCTCGCTCGCAGCGCCCTTCCGAGCCCGCGCGCCACCCCGGCCCAGGGTGTCCATGGCCCCCACTTCCTGGTGTCCCGCGCGCCTTTTGTTCCACGCCGCCCGTCGGTACCCGCGCAGCCCCGACGGGCTCACCTTTGCAGCAGGAGGATCCACGCAGGGTACCCGAGAGAGTGAGGCACGGGTTGCGGTGTAGGTACGCGATGCGCGCAGAGAGCGAGCGATGCCAGGGATGCTGGGGTCCGCTGACCTTGGTTTGGCTCAGCCCGGTTCCGCTCGGCTTAGGCTCAGAGCACGTCCTACCTCGACGAAGGAGTAGCGCGCACTGGCGAGTCCGTGGCGCCGCCGCCGAGAAAACCAAACACTTAGCGGGATTCCCCGGCCCGGACTCGGCCACGCCCCCGCCGGGACGCTTGCGCTCGCCCATTGGCCGGTGCCGCCTCATCATTTCGGGGAAATCAGGCTGTTGTAGAGCTAAGCAGCAAAGGGGAAGTACAAGGAAGCTGTGCTCCCCACCCCCTCGGGGCCGCGCTGCCGCTCCGGGGCTCCCGCGGGCCCGCCCCGCACTCCACTCCACCCCCGGCCCCTTCGCCTGTCTTGGAAAGCGAGGCTTTTCTCGTTCTGCACGCTCCTAGCCCGCTGGCTCCTGTGACAGTCTTCCCCCTCTCCTCCACCCGGGACCTCTAACTCCTGGGTTTCCAGGACACCTGCTTCCCTCTCCAGAAGGGACCCCCGGCACTGAATCACCCTGAAAATCAGTCTGGTAATGAAGTGTCAAGAAGGGAGGGATTCGGTCCCTATACTGTCCCGTAGGTGACATCTCTCTCAACGGTCCGTTGCTCTGGGAAATTGAGGCAGACGGCTTAGCCTGCTGCAGGTGCTATGTGGAGTTGCTTCTCAGTAGGAACTCCCAGCCTGGACTCTGCAAGCACAGCTGTCGAAGGACCCAGGGAATCTTAATTTCCTTAACCACAAAATGGCAATAGCCCCTTTGCTAGTCTGTGGTGATGGGAGAGCATCGTATCCTGATGGGGAGAGATGATGTGTATGCCCTACCTGGGCACAAGATGCTGGTGTGCTTTCCTGTACCCCACGAGGTTTTCTAGCAGTGACCAAGGTGACCCTCCTCCCTTGTATCCTTGGGACTACCGAGACCAAAGGAGTGGAGGGAATGCAGAAGTGGCTAAGACTTGCTTCAGCTCTACAACCTCACCCTGTAGCCTTTGGGAGAGAGTTACTATCCTCCCTGATAGTATTGAAGTCATTTCTGAGTCCCCAAAGCCTGGCTCTGGAGGCGTTCTGGGCAGCATAGAGAAACTGTGGTCAAGGCGTTGAATCTAAGAAACAAGAAGCTAGGTCCCAAGGGGTTGGCACAGGCTGTGTGGGTTAATGGGTGCTCACACGTAAACCTTGCCAGTGTGCTCTCCTAGTGGCCGGGTTGGTGTGTACATGTTCCATCCAGAACTCTGGTGTGGGGGCCCACAGAGATTCCGTAGTGCGGCCTTATTCCATCGAGCTTGTTTTATCCTGTAAGGCATAGGATTTTGGGCCAGAGGCTAGGTTACCAGGTGCTTTATACTTACAGGATGCTTTGCTGTAAGGCGTGATTACCAGATGTCTTGAGTACTAAGGAGGTGTTGACACTTGGCTGTACTTTGTACCTTAAACCATGATGTCCTTGAAAAGGGGAGATCTTTTTACCCCCCTTGCTTTGGGTATATAAAGGCTGTGAGTAATAAACTCAGTCGTCGTCCGTGGTGCTGACCCAGATCCCTCCCAAAGCTATCCTGTATCTCTTTTTCTTTTGCGTCTACCTCTCTCTCTGTTTCACAGCTATCATTTCTCAATTCCACACTCCCCCCTTTCAGAACCATTCGACAGATCAAGCCGAGTGGGGACTCGGCACTCTGCCCCCTCAGGCTTCTTCCTTCCCTTCCTCACAGCTTCTGACTCACAAGTAAATCAATCTTCTGTGGTGTCATTCTCCTGCGTCACTTTCCTTGCCCTAGCTGCCCCTCCAGGACAGCACCCAGTTGGAGGGTCGCAAGCTGTAATACATCCACTGATGAATGATTGTACCTGTCAGTCATTTCTCTGGCTCCTGCAAGAGGTTGAGGAGCTAGGAGAGTCAAGATGGCAGTGGGACCTTGGAGGAAGGTACTGAGACTCTGGAGTGAATAGGGAGGTGAGATCTGGGATATTTGAAGTGGCAAATAAGGGTGAGAATTGCTGCAGGAACCAAGACCTTCTGAACAAGTGACTCAGAGTCGTGACACCTGCTTGCTGGGAAGCAGATAGATGCTTGCTGTATTGAGACAGCCTGACGCCGCCATTGGAAAATTCAAAGTGAGATTAGGGAGAGGAACTTTGTAACTCTTGCAGCCCACAGAGACCCTTTGAAAGCATCAGGAGACTACAAAATACATTAAAATACCTGTGTGGGTATGCATAATGAAAGTCAGCCCATGTCCTGGAATGTCCATCCGCAGCCTTGTTAGTGATGGGTACCTGTTTTCTGTCATAAGGATAAATAAAAATTTACCCAATGAACACCCTGTTGTAGGACATTTAGGTTATTTCCATTTTTTCCCCCAATAGAGACAACACTGAGCAAAATCTACATACAAACGCTAACAATTTTCCGCTTAGGAGACAACCCCCACCCCCCACAGCTAGGATTTACCCGTGAAACTGACATTTACATCTTTTAAATGTTCTGTGAGGGTTTTTTTTTTTTTCCACTTTGACTTTGGGGATCCTTATTTATTATTTTTGCTTCTTTTTTTTTTGAAAGAGGGCTTCTTGTAGCCCTGGCAAGCCTTGAATGCCTCCTCCTCCTACCTCTGTAGTCTGTACCACCACGCTTGCCTGGTGCTTGATTTGAAATTGTAAGAATCTGCCTATAATTGGGGGGGGGGGTACTGTGTTTTTGTTGTTTGGGGTGTTTGTTTGTTTTTTGCTAACCCTTGTTGAGTTCCATTTTGTTTTTTGTTTTCCCAAAACAGGGCTTCTCTGTGCAGCCCTGGCTATCCTGAAACTTGTAGATCAGGCTGGTCTAGAACTCACTGCCTCTGCCTCCCAAGTGCTGAGATTAAAGGCATGCACCACCACGCCCCCCCCCCCCCCCCCCCCCCCCCCCGCAAGTTTCTAAAATTTTTATTGTTACTGCTTTTTCCCTTTTTATTTTTGAAACAGCTCATGTATCCCAGGCTGACTTTGGATTTCTGATCTTCCTGCTTTGAATTATCAAATGCTGGGATTGTGGCTATGTATGTACCACTTCCTCTGGAATATTTGGTACTTGGCCTGGAACCTAGGCTTTGTGCGTGCTCTTCCATCTCACTCCCTACCTCTCCAGTTGTTCTTAGAAGAGGGTAGAAAACAGAACATAAGACCGAGTCTGAAAGCTTGGAATCTGTGCTTATGCCACTCACTCCACTGGGGCTGGAGAGAGGGCTTCATGGAAAGAGAACTTGCGGCTCTTACAAAGTACCTGGGTTTGGATCCTAGCACCCACATTGGGCCTCTCACAACCACCTGTGACTCCAGCTCCTGGAAATCTGATGCCCTCTTCTGGCCTCCATTGGCACCTGCACTCACATGCACACACACCCATTACACACACAATTAAAAATAAAATAGTTTTTTTTTTTTTTTTTTAAGAAAGAAATGACTACTTCTCTGGGCCTCAATTAGCTTTAAACCAGAGAAAAAATCTCTACCCATCATTCCTAATTGTTGAGAAGATTGTTAAACAAAATTATTAGAGTCCACTATTTTGGACTGAGTTCCTGCACCAGGCTCCAACAGACGAAACAAAATGGAATCACTCATGCTAAGTATTACATTATTAGTTGAAATTTCAAAAGAGCACACAGATCCTAAACCAAACCAGGTTTTCCTAAAAACAGGAGTTTTGGGTCCTCTCTGCTTTAAGACCTGAAAATGTGTCCTGAACCACCTTAACATTAACCATCAGGCTTTTTTCTGCTGTTTTGTTTCCTTGTTCTGACCTTACAGAAACCATCCTGCCGTTGCTCAGCAGGAGCACTCATTCTAATCTGTGAATCATGCCTAATTCATGAATCAAAGCCAGTGAGACTCTTGGTCAAATTTCTTGCAGTTTTCCCCTATGAAATCAGATAGACTATCCCATACCATTAAACACTCCTTAAATGACAGGTATCGACAGGAAACCATCAGCCTTCCACTGTGCTTCACTGCCCCGAACACTTTCCTCCTCACTTCTTTCTCCCTCTGTTTGCCCTCCCTGCCCCAGGGACCCCATGTTCCCCAATACTCAGCAATACTTCTTCCTCTCCACTAACTTCCATTTCTACCAGCCTCCCCCTCCCCTTTTTTAAAAAAAAATAGTCTCATTTGTAACCCAAGTCGTCCTTTTCAAAATATATGTTTAAGCCAAGTGGTGGCGGCACATACTTTTAATCCCAGCACTCAGGAGGCAGAGGCAGATGGATCTCTGTGCGTTTGAGGCTAGCCTGATCTACAGAGTGAGTTCCAGGATAGCCAGGACTGCACAGTAAAACCCTGTTTTGAAAAAATAAACTATGTTTATCATTTAGGCTTGTGCACATGTTCATGTATGATGGTATATATGCCACGGAGCACATGGTCAAGAACAACCTAGGGCGTTGTTCTTTAGCTTCCACCTTGTGGCTTTTATGTAGGCTCCAGAGAACAAAGACAGGTCGTTAGGCTCCTATAGCAGGTTCCTTTACCTGCTAAGCCATCTTCCTGCCCCCTAAGGGTGGCATTAAGTTCCTGATCCCCCTGCCTCCACCTCCCAAGTCCTGGAGTTGCAGAAGAGCTCCACCATACTTGGCTTCCATTTCTGCCCCTTAAAAACTCAGAACAGCCGGGCGGTGGTGGCGCACGCCTTTAATCCCAGCACTCGGGAGGCAGAGGCAGGTGGATCTCTGTGAGTTCGAGGCCGGCCTGGTCTACAGAGCGAGATCCAGGAAAGGCACAAAGCTACGCAGAGAAACCCTGTCTCGAAAAACCAAAAAAAAAAAAAAAAAAAAAAAAAAAAAAAACCAAAAAAAAAACTCAGAACAAAGGCCCAGTTTCTATGAGTGCCCTCAAAGCAGCCAATCAGAACTCCTCCCCCTCCCCTTCGCCCTCGGGTTTGAGCTTCTGTGTCTTATCTCTTCATGCGCAGTGTCTTCTAAGCTGTGAGCAGGGAGCACAGGGTGCGTTCTTCTGTAAGACTCTAGGCAGAGCCGCAGCTGGAGTTTATGCTGCTCAGTGGCACGCATAGACATAGGGTGCCTCCCCCAAGTACCCTGGCCCAAGTAGGATGAGTGTACTGTGCAGCTTCTCAGGTGGGCCCTGAGGTTCTCTGGACTTCCAGAGGGGCTGGCAGGGTCTCCTTGAACGTGACTTTTGTGATCCTAATGCAGGAGGTGACCCAAGGATGTAGCTCGATTGACAGAGTGCCTGTGTAGCATGAACAAAGCTCTGGTTCCATTCCCAGCACCACAAAAAATAGGCTTGGTGGTTTATCTCTGTAATCCCAGCCCCAGGGGGAGGGAGGGACAGGAGAATCAGAAGTTAAAGGTTATCCTTGGCTACATAGTAAGGTCCAGGCCAGCCTGATAGGGTGTGTGTGTGTGCGTACGCACGCGCGCAAAAATCATCCACACACAAATGCTGTAGGAGCCTCTCCCCTCTTACCTGGTGGACCAAATCCTATCTGCTGCCATCTCCCTCCTGTTCTCTGCCTCCTTGGTTATTATGATCAGAACCACCTTCTAAGTAGGAGTCCTACCAGTCCCGAACAGCAGGAGTCTGGCGCCCCAACCCCCCCCCCCACACACACACACACGTTGGAGACAAGCATTACACCAAGGCCATGCTGCAATCCTTAGACTCTCCAGCAGGTACCTGGAAAGCACTAAAATTCCTTGCTAAAAGGATGTGTCACCCCATCTCCTTCATCTGATGATTATTCTCATTATACAGACACCCCCATGGTGCTTGTGCTGACAGACAGGTGTGGGAAACGCTTTCAGAAATCCGAGCTAGGGAAACCAGGTCCAGGCCTGGTGAGGCTTGAATTAGGTTTTTGACGGCTCCCCAGAACAGACAAGCCCTCAACAGGGCTTCCAGACTTGCAGACCCAAAGGACCTCCTAGCAGCCAAGCTGTTTTCACAGCAAAACTCTTCATGCAGGACCCATGTCAACTGGTAGAGTGTTGCCTAGCTTGCGTGACACCCTAGATTCAATCCCCAGCATAGCATAAACCTAATGAGGTGCTGCACCCACTTGTAATCTCGGGGCACTGGTAGAGGCCGGAGGATCGGCAGTTCAGGGTCACCCTGGGCTACACAGAGCCTGACTAAAAATAAAGACACAGTCAGGTATCAAAGCATCCGAAACCATCCCAAAGCTTGACATGAAGCTCCAGGTCCCACCAGTGTGTCTGTGAGACGCTTGGGCAGAAAGGAAATCTTAACTTATTCAATAAATGGGAATCGCACTTCTGCTCAGGGTTAGCCCGAAGTTTGGCTCTGGGGAGTTGCCCGGGCACGAGACCAGCCCCTCCCCGCTCACAGCTTTGGCACTCGCGCTGTATGACACAGCAGAATAAACGTTGTACCGTTATTTATTTATTTATTTTTTTAAAATCCAGAACTCGGAGAGTGGGAGGCAGCAGCTGACTGGGAAAGCACAGGGTCCTTGCGCTGTGCTGGAATCGCTGCGAGGCGGTGGTGGTGTGGGTGCCGCTCCGGAACTCATCGCCCCTCCCCCGCCCGCTGGAGTGTGCGTGTGACCGTGTGGGCTGCCACTGGGGCCCGCTGCGGAGTTTCATTTCTTATAAACACAGCATTGGGAGGAAAGAGGCCTCAGTTCCCATCCGCCCTGTGGGGCCCGGAGAGCCGAGCCGAGGAGACTGTGAGGCCAGGCCCAGAGGCCGTGACCCTGGGCAGGGCTGGATGGGAGCAGCACCCCCACCCCTGTGGACGAGTCCTGCCGAGTAGCCGAGGCGCCACCCCTACCCCACACCAGGCTTTCCCGCCTGGCTTGGCCCCAGGGTGGACCCCCTCTTCTCCACGTGATGCGCTCTGATGCTGGGTGTGCGTGATTCGGGGGAGAGTGGGCAACCAGGCCCTTTGGGCCAACTTCCACATTCCTGATCCGCCCCGACTTGGGGGTGAGTTGCAGTCTCGGCTCTGGCTGGCTTCCTGGAAAGGGAGAAGCGGGCGGGCGGGCGGGCGGGCGGGCGGCAGAACCGCAGAGCCTCCCAGCTGGGCCGCCCAGGTGGCTGCCGACGTTCTAACCCTACGCCTATATTCTCCCACGCCTGCACACTAGCTGCCTGCCCCACCCGTGCCAGGCAGCTCACCTGCCGGCGGCCAGAGCACTTCTTCCTCCCCGCCTAGCATTCCCCTGCCGCCAGGAGTTTGCACCTAGCTCAGCAGCTGTAAACTGTGTGACCTGGGGCGAGTTGCTAAACTCTGTGCTCGCCATCACACCTCGGAGAGCTGAAGCTGGCAAACCTCTAGCAGCTCTGCTGCTCTTAATCCCTTCTGCCTGTGCCTCTTCTCCCTACCCGTTCCCCGGGGTTGGCAGACAC